TATGAGGCTGTTTAGCAGACAATGGAGGCTCTGTGAATATAGCTTGTGTTCAGGTCTTCATTGTCCTCTGAGAAGTTCCTGTCTTAAGCATGTCTACAGTCTATAATTTTAAAAATAACAATTTCATTTAGTTTTCTTCCCAGAAATTAATTAAAATACTGAAATACAACAATACTGTGTATTTAAAAAATAAAAGGTGTTCTTGCCACCCTTGCAACCCCCAAGAAGCTTTGGTTCCCAGGTTGGGAACCAGAACATTATATTCACTTCCTAAATGAGATTTAACATTAAATATGAGATTTTCCCTCCCATGGCACTATATTTAGTTAAAGGCCCAGTGTGTAACATTTGGGCTCTATTGGCTGAAATAGAATATAATATTCAGAGGTATATTTCCATTAATGTATAATCACCCTAAAATAAATATTGTTTTGTTTTCGTTACCTCAGAATGAGCCACTTTCATCTATAGGAAAACTCTTCTATGGAGTCTGCCAAGTTGAACCGTCATGTTTCTACAATAGCCCAGAAAGGACAATCAAACACTGGCTCTAGATAGGTCCATTTGCATTTTTCTTGAGTTTGTGGCCACTATAGTTTTCCCAACACACTTGGAACGTTGAGCTGTATTCAAATAGTTTCAACTTCACTGCAAGAATCTTGATGCAATAGAGTATGAATGAGATGTTATGGCTCTGTTGAGCTTTGCCTGTTCACTGTGACTTATCCTTCACATTCATTCTACAGCTGATCCTGACAAGCTCAGTTTGAGATGTCCTAAAATGGCCACTGTACCAAGGGTTATGTTATAAACGTAATGTTTGTAACAACATGGCCGTTCCTCCGGCACCACCAGTGGGAAGAATTTAGGAAGATAAATCTACAGAAAAAAAAATAAAAACATGTAAAAAACAAACATAAGAAATGCAGTTTTGCTTCTATGTAGGTCACTGGGCGTTAGGTATATGACATGCTATAGCCTTCACAGTCATTAGATCTCAACCCATATGAACACCAATGCGAGATTTTGGAGCAACGTGTTAGACTGCACTCTCCACCACCATCATCAAAACACCAAAAGAGAGACTATCTTTTGGAAGATTATCATTGCATCAGGGGCTGACAAATATTCAGTTCATGTGTCCGAATTCCCCAGCAGAACACAAACCATATGAGATGTTTTTGATAAGACACAGAACCAAACCACTTTGTTTCAGCTTTTTTGCCTAAGACAGTCACAAGATTTTTATTTTAAGATATTTATTAAATCTTAAGTCTCAGAGAAATATTTTCCTGATCCTATATTCATTTTTTTTTATTCAAAGGGTCTTTATTGGCATGGGAAATTTAACAAGGGAAAGCAAGTGTAAAATCTGTGTATATACAGATTAGTAAAAAAAATAAAAAAAAATCATATAAATAATAATAGGGGCTATCTATGGACATCTGGTGTCTTCCCTTTTAAGAGTGTATGTTCTTTTGTGTTTATGTGAGAGGTTCTCACTGTATTCACTCTATTCCCTGGACAGATGTAGAGTATTGATTCGCCCATTGTTATACGCTGTTGTGTGTGTGCTGTCTGAATAGCAGTGGCTGATTCCAGGAAACCGGTTGTTGAAGGCTTCTTCAGAACTGTGGGCTTAATAACAAACCATTTCAACAAATGTGTCCCTTTGATAACTGCAATGACAAATTCACACTCACACATTATAGTTCCTTTGTTAGACCCTCCCACACATGGAACATCCTTTCACTGCATATAAACAGTTTCTTGTTCAATCTTAACACCTGGATCAAATATAGCCGCAAGGTTCATCCTACCTTGACTCTGCATGCTTGTCTGTTCGTTCTCCGCCTGGCTGTAAGCCTGTCACAATATGTTTTATGTCTCTTGTGTTGTGGTGATGTTAATGGTTAATGTGTTCCACCGATTCACTACTGTCCTTTCAGCTAAGGCTTCTTTCTCGCACACTTGTTTGTGTGCTTTAACCGTTTGGTTTACTCTCTACTGTATTTGGTGGCTTTTAAATTGTTTTCTTGCTTTTGTCATGCAGGTTGTTTAGGAGGGAACTGGCTGTTTGGCTAACAATGAGACAGTGACATAGATTAATGGGCACTGTCCCTGAAACAAAACTAAAAATCCATAAACTCACCAGCTACAGTGGTCCCACGAGGCTATTACTCATTAGAGACCAGAAAACAAGATTACTGAATGAATGCAAAATGGGGAAACATACACACGGGTGGCAATTAAAGTGGAAAACACCATAGAAATGTCCTAGTAGTTGAGCCGTCGCAAGACCACCAGAACAGCTTCAATGCATCTTAGTGCAGCTTCTCTTCTTAAACATCAATGTAGTTAATAAAGTAATTATTTTTTAAGTTAGATAAGCAATTACAAGCGAATATTAGGAAGTACACGTATTAGGGAGTACTAACCAGGGTCAGAGAGAGACAAAGTCAGATGTATAAGAAGAAAACAAGGAGATTTACATTCAAGGTAAAATTTGGTCCCATGTGATATGCAAACAAAGCTAGCAATACATTACAATGCACAGTGCAACACACGGCAAAGGAAGACTGATTCGAGGCAACCAGCCCCAGCTTAGGCTCCACTAATCCTCTTCTATGTTGCATCCCGTCTGCAAAAGGAGTGACATGCATCAACGTTTTTAGATGAATGTGTAATGTGTATTCTCGAAATCACAATGGGACCCAGCCTGCTTCACTACAGCAGTAGACCCTGAACGTATGCAGAGGCATACACAGCCATTATACTGCCAACATCAAGCAAATGAAATCAGAACTTAAGAAGACAGTCAGAATAATAATATATAAGACTGGCATTCTGGGAAGTAGCAGCAGTCCACTTCTGGTATGTTGAAGCATCCTGGTTTTTATGCACCAAAGGTTTGGAACATACTCCCACCACAAATTAGACAAACAACGTGTGCTGATAGTTTTAAGAAACCGCTGAAGACCTATTTTTATGATCTTGCTTTTAATTATTTTTTATCTTTTTTTAGCATTACAGTCTGTTTTCTGTTATTTTTTTGTCTATAAAAAAATTTGTATGACTTTTTATGATTATTTTCATTATTATATTATCCTGTGTTGACACAGATCCATCAGCTGGGTCACAAGTTATACTGTTGCTCCTGTGAGCAACCTTCCCAAATTCCCAGACTCCCTCACAGCCATTACATTTAAAAAGTATTCAGTGTAATACATTATTTGCCTATTTGATAATTGCATTGTCATACTAAAATCTGGGTGTTTGGAAAGTCAGTCAGCACAAACCAGCCACAAAGAAATGCAAAACAGCCACAAAGGAGAAGAACTACAAAGAGAAAAAAAAATCAGAGACAAAAGACAATCACAGAGATAAAAAAAAATGCCACAAAGAGACACAAAACAAGCACAGAGATAGGAAGTGACCACAAAGAGATAAAAAATGACTACAGAGAGATAAAAAATTATCACAAAGAGACACAAAAAAACCAAAAACCTTTCAGTCTGGGTGTGTTCTCTGTGGGATTCTGTGTCCCGTGGCCCATTGTCTTATAATCTGTCTATGGCTACAGGCTATTTGGTGTAATGAGTGGCAGCTAATCATTTATATTATTTCAATATATTAAAATATCTAAATATGTTTATTTGGCACATTATTGTTGTTCCTGAAGGTACCGACTGAAATGTAACTGTGGTTACATTGACCCTTTTTTCAATTGAATCATATAGTGCACATCCAACACAATAGTCCAGCACTATAATGGAAGACCTCTGCTAATAAGCATACATAGTTTTTACGAGAAGTTACATTTATCAGTCAGCCACTGTTGAGTATTATGCAGTAATTGTTCGGTCTGTGAGACGTGAAGTCTGCAAATTCACTCATTTGTAACAGATTTTCCTGATTTTAGCAATGAAAACTAGCATATGGGGTAAAGAGTTTCTTGGAGACAATGGTCCTTAAAGAACAAATTGAAACTCCTTAAGTCTTCTAAACCAATAAAGGACTGTGTGAAAAGTGTGTCTTTAATATGTGAGAGAACAATAAACCAAATAAAAACAACACACCCTGTAGGTACACATGTAGACCAGAGATGTCAATTGATTCTTGTATGATTCATATCTTTTACCACCTCTAATGGCTGCCTATTTGTTACCTCCCAGAAAGAACATGACAGATGACTCACTACAAGTCAACACCGAGTTTCACAGAGACAGTCAGCGCTAACAGGAGATGGCATTCTACTACCCACGGCGGCTGCAGGACCTGACTGTTAATGAAAAGTGCTCCATTTGATTAAACATCTTCTAATCCCCACAACATGTTGACTTTTCAGCACTTTCATTTCATTACATAAGCTCCAGCCTTTCTCATTTCTCATTATCGAGTTTAGACGTAGTGTTTTCTTGCACAATTCTACTTGTGAAAGTTCAT